GAGGCGGGGCTGTGGGGATGCTCCCCTGCTCCCCTCCGAAGGGCGCAGGGCCAGCACCCCTCCACCTGGGAAGGCGGCCACAAGAGGAAGTCCCGACAAGAGATAAGAATACAAGTCCAGGAGCCACCCTGCCCCACCCGGACTCGGTGCGGAAGGCAGCCCAGAGAGCGGCCCGAGAGCCGCAGCCCCACCAAGCACCCCTGCCTGGTGGGCTCCCCGCAGCAGCTGAGGCCCTGGCCCCCACCTGCCCCTGCGGCCCTGCATCCCCTGGGTGGAGAGCTCCTTCCCACGGCAGCAAGCAGCCTGGTGTGCTTACTGAACCTGAGGGCCACAGTGGATCTTCCAGCATCCCCCACACCCCAGCACTGAAGGTTCCAGGCACTCGGGTCTGTCCCACGACCTTCTCTCTTGAGGCTGTTTCTCGCTGTACTCAGAAAACAGCTGTTCTCTGCAGCTGCCCATGCTGGTCACCTGTGCCCAGGCCTGGCTCCTCCAGGTTTGGGGACGAGGGGGAGCGGGTGGTCCTGGGCCTGGAGCATTTGGCTCTGGAGGTCCCCTCCCCCTGGGCTCTCCCGCCGAGTGGGTTCCTGAAGTGACTTCAGAGGACACCGCTCCTTTAATGCGAGCTGTGACGAAGGAAGAACACACAGCCTTCCCGTCGCCTTTGGCCAGGCTGAGGCCTGGGTAGGACTCAGTCATGGCTCAGGGACCCAGAGGCACAAGCAGAGACCGGCTGGGCTCTGGACGTCCAGGATGGGCCCATGCTCTGAGGTGCACTCCCTGGGGCTCCCAGGCATCTCTCGTCCATGGGGTCTGCACCCTAAGAGGGCTGAGGAGACAGGAGATTCCTCTGCACCTGCCTGTTTCCACAGCCACATTCTGCCTTCCCTCGAAGACTGAGCCTGGTGAAGTCCCCTGTTCTACCTGCCTCTGTCTCCCCTGGGTGCCAGGCACCCAGGTGGCACTTCACACATAGTACCTCACTTAAGCCTCAGTGCCACCTTGCGCGGGATGTAGTATCTACCCGCTTCACAGAGCAGGAGTCTGGGAAGACTGGAAAATGACATGAAACACTCAAGGTCTCAGGCAGGGAGCGGTCAGTGACAGCTAGGAGCCCAGGGCCGTCCACCCGCGGGGCTGTGATACCACACAAATCGGACACGGCCTTTGCACTGGACCAGGAAACACGTTCCAGGAAGATGACTTCTCTGGCAACCCGGGGATGTCGCTTAAATGTCCTGACCCGGTCTCCTCACACACCGGGCCTGAAACAGTAACTTCTGCTCTGTTCACAGAGCGGGTAAGAGCATCACGTGACGGTTGCGGATGATCTTGGAAAAGTAAAAAGTTCTATGCAGGGAAAACGTACTCATGCCGTAGACACGGCGGGCACCAACCTTGTTGGCAGCCCCGCCCCCCCATTACCTGCCGTCTGCTTCCTCTGCTCATCAAACAGATCCGCTGAGCTTATGGAGGAACTCGCCGAAAGCCTCTCCAGCCGAGCCCTGGTTTCATACTAGAGAAGACAAGGAATAGGAAACATCAGGCTCCAAAGGCTGTGAGCAATTCTGCAAAAAGAATCAGCGAGGAGCTGTCAGTTCACAGCTGCTCAGGGCAGGGGAACCAGAGAGCAGCAGGGCACCTCTGTCGCGGCGCTGTGCCCACCAGCGGCCAGCAGAGGCCACTGCACGGCTGCCCACATGGGCTCTGCTCTGTGACTTTCAAAGTAGACTTAAATGTTGCCAGCTTTAAAATAAGGCAGCTTTTAGGGGGTGGGAAGAGCAAGTGGTAACTGTAAGCTCCTGAAGTGCCGGGCAAAGCTCTGTTGCTACGAAATAGACTCAGTGCCTTTAGGAAGCAGCTCCCTGTGTCGCCCAAGAAACCTGGCAGTGACGCACGCCTCCGAGAGCTTTGGCAAAAGCACACCAGCACCCCGACATTAGAAAAAACCTTAGGCCTCTCCATTGCCGTATGATCCTTCTGTGTAGCAAGACTCCTCTAAGGCGAGAGGCAACAACCTGAAAATAAATATATATACCCTCCCCGAACATATCTATATAAGCCATTTAACTTCATTAATAATAATTAAAAAGTTAAGTAAATTACAGCTGTATCAAAAATCGCCTGAAATTTTTCCCAAACATATTAAATAGATGTGTGTTCAAAACACTGAGAAAGGAATCAGAGAAACGTGAGACACGATCCCTACCTTCTAGCCTCTTCTCCAGCTGGGGCAGTGAGGGGGAGGAGTCAGGAGGACCTGGGTTTGAGTCCCGCCCCCATCATCTTGGGCCCAGGGGCCTCTCACAGTCTGAGTCCCTCCCACTCTGCGCCTTCACCTCCTCCCCTGGCTCCCAGGTCCCTGCTCGCTTCCTGCTCAACAGGGCTCACACACAAACTCTCTGGACGCTTACATCAGCTTGGGCTTGTCTTCCAAAGTACATATCTGATGAAATGGCTTTGACATTGCCAAACTTCTTCTGGGCTTCATCTGTGTTCTCAACTGGCTCATAGTCTGGCTTACGGCGGGCAGTAGGTCTATAATTAAAAACAGGCAGAACAGGAGCGACGTCAGCAAGACGGTGAAGTAGGGAGTTTTCTACCATCGTCCCCCTACAGAACACTGATTTTGACAACTGTCCACAGACAGGACGCAGGGGTGCAGCAGAGAGATTCCAACACACTGTTGGGAGTAAAACGATCCAAGACTGGGCACAAGAAAGAGGGTAAGAGGCACAGTTTCACCTTCCCTGAGTCACCCCTCTCCCCGGGCGGCACAGCTCAGTACCAAGAGAGAGCCCCCTGGCCTGCAATATCTCCCATGGGGGAAAGTGAGAGGCTGGTGAGTGGGAGCCCGACTTCCCCTGCTGGGTGGGACACTGCAGAAAATGCCCCTTCTTTCCCACCCCATCCGGAGTACTGAGGTGATCTGCATGGCTTAGGGGCTGGGAGAGGCAGGAAGCACAGCAGCCAGGGCTCAGAACTCAAAGGCACGTAGGTCCCACCGACCATTTTGTGGACGCCACGAGGAAGCCTGCTCACAAGCAGCTGGGTACACTTTGCCCGTGGAGCCCCCCGCTGGCCCATGGATGCCTTCCAACGCTCTGTGCACCTCACCCACACATCTCCCACCTTCATAGTCGGCTCCCTGCACGAGCCCCCACAGACGGCGAGGACAAGCCTTTGAGCGTGTGCAGAAAGCCAGCCCGCTCTGGGACTGGGAGGAAGTACACAAAGGAGCATCTCCGGGCACCAAGGGAGAGTACACAGGAGGCTCGGGCACCTGGCCTGGCCTTGTGGGATTGAGAGACGGCATTCATCTGAAGATTCCAGCCCCAAAAGGGAGCGAGTAGAATAGAGTGGTATTTCCATAGAAAAGGTCTGAGAAAGCTTCAGGATCCCTAGCAGGGCTGCTGGTGAAGGCATTTCTCACCCCAGGCCAGTCGGCAGAGACAGGAGGAGGTGACTCTTCTTCTGATGCGAAGACAGCAACACAAGACGCCAAGCAGCACGAAAAATCAAGGAAACGCGACACCACAAAGGGAACGCAGTAATTTTCCAATAACCGATCCCAAAGAATTGGCTGACAAAGATTTCAAAATAACTGTTTTATTTTTTATTTATTTATTTATTTTTTCAACGTTTTTATTTATTTTTGGGACAGAGAGAGACAGAGCATGAACGGGGGAGGGGCAGAGAGAGAGGGAGACACAGAATCGGAAACAGGCTCCAGGCTCCGAGCCATCAGCCCAGAGCCTGACGCGGGGCTCAAACTCACGGACCGCGAGATCGTGACCTGGCTGAAGCCGGACGCTTAACCGACTGCGCCACCCAGGCGCCCCCCAAAATAACTGTTTTAAAGAAGCTCAGCAACCTACGAGAACATGCACAACTCAACGAAGTCGGGAAAATAACACGCAAACAGAATAAGAAGTTCAACACGGAGGCGGAAATCACAAAAAAGGACCAAACAGAGACTCTGGAGCTGAAGAATACAACAGAGGACATCGACGGCAGACTGAGTCAAACAGAAGGATTTGTGAACTCGAAGACAGGTCATTTCAAATCATCCGGTCAGAGGGGAAAAAAAGAAAAAAGAATAAAACAGAGTGAAGAAAGCCTACATGAATTATGGGACACCGTAAGAAACTAATTTACGCATTACAGGAGGCCCATCAAGAGAAGAGAGGGCAAAGGGGGCAAAAAGCTTATTGCAAGAAAGAACAGCTAAAAACTTCCCAGATCTGGAGAGAGATACGGACATTCGGGTACACGAAGCTCAAAAGTCCTCAAAGGGATTCAACCCAAAGAGATCTTTACCAAGACACATTATAATAAAACTGTTAAAAATCAAAGACAAAAAGAGAGAAAGATAAATACCATACGATTCAACTCATAAAAGAAATCTTAAAAAAAAACCATGAATAAACAAACAAAAAAAGAGCAGAATCAGAAGTATAAATATAGACACGGACAAATGATGGTTGGCAGACAAAAGGGGGGTGGGAGAATGAACCAAATGGGTGAAGGGGAGAGGGGGATACAGGCCCCCAGCTAGGAAATGAGTAGGTCACGGGAGTAAAGGTAAAGCATAAGGGGGAAAAAAAAGGAATTTTTAAGTTTTTTTGTTTTTTCTTTTTGTTTTCTGAGGCAGGGGGTGGGGGTGCAGAGAGAGGGAGAGAGAGAGAATCCCAAGCAGGCTCCACACTGTCACATGGGGCTCGAACCCACAAACTGTGAGATCATGACCCAAGCCAAAATGAAGAGTCAGATGCTTAACTGACTGAGCCACTCAGGTGCCCCCTGAAAAAGAATTTTTAAAGCAACAAGAGAAGAGAAACTCATCACGTACAGTGGAATCCCTGGGAGACCATCAGCAGATTTCTCAGCAGAGACCTAGCAGGGCCAGGAGACAGGGGAAGGATATATTTGAAGTGAAAAACAAACAAACAAGCAAACCCTGCCAACCAAGAGACGTGTGTCACCGAAATCCTAAAAGGAGTCTTGGAAGCTGAACTGATGAATGCTAATTAGTAACATAAAAACATGAAAGTATAAAACTCACTGATGGAGGTAGGTGTACAGTCAAATTCACAATACTTGAATGCTGCAATGGTGGCGTATAAATCACTTACCTCTGTATAAAAGTTAAAAAACAAAAATGGCAAAAATACAGCTACATTAATTTATTACTTGATATACAACATAAGAAGGAGTAAATTACGACATCAAAAACATAAAATGTAAAGGGGGTAGAGTAAAAGGGTAGAATTCTTGTATGTAATCTAGGTTAAGTTGTTATCCACTTAAAATAGACTGTTATCGGGGCGCCTGGGTGGCTCAGTTAGTTGAGCATCCGACTTGAGCTCAGGTCATGATCTCGCAGTTCGTGAGTTTGAGCCCTGCGTCGGGCTCTGTGCTGACAGCTATAGGCCGTTTACAGACTGCTATAATTATAAGATGTTTTATGTAAGCCTCATGGTAATCATAAAGCAAAAATCTCTAGTATACACACAAAAGAGAAAGAGAAAGAAATAATAACATACCACTATGGAAAGTCATCAATTCACAAAGGAAGACAGCAAGAGAGGAAGAAAGGAACAAGGGAACCACCAAACAGCCAATGAACAATCACTAAGATGGCATTAGTAAATCCTTACCTATCGATAGTTGCTTTAAACATAAATGGACTAAATTCACCAACCAAAAGACACTGAGTGGCCAGATGGATTAAAAAACAAGGTCCAACGGCATGTTGCCTCCAAGAGACTCCCTTCAGCTTGAAGGACACACATAGGCAGAAAGTAAAGGGACTGAAAAAGATGCTCCAAATGTGAACCAAGAGAGGACAGGGATGGCCACACTTATACCAGATGAAGTGCACTTTTTTTTTTTTTTTTTT